GACTATTAAGGTTGCTCTGTAAGTTATTATTACCTGAGAAAGCTGCCTCACTAATGGGGCAGAACATCATCACTCCTTCACCCATATCCCAAGAAAAAATATTTAGTGTACTGACATCATTCACATTTCTGACTGAAAAGTCTCAAAACTGGCTACCTGCAGTAGTAGTCGACATACATTTACAACTTATTTACTGCTCTGACTACACCTGTAGGTAGGTAGGTAGGTAGGACTTTATTGATCCCCCAATATAGTATTTTCTTACTCGGCAGAATAAAATAGCACAAGATCTTACAATAGATTCTGATATTCCTTCTCTCTTCCTCTGTCTCTGCCCACCATTTTCTAATGTCTGCTGGCTGCTGTACGAAATCATCCTGCTGACTCTGTAATACACTGGGGAGAATAGAAAAATCACCAGAGATTCCACCTCCTCCCAGCTGCATTCCCTTTGCCTTTTGCGTGGCCTATTATCGCACCACTCACAATACAATATGTCCTTATTGAAGCTTTCAGATGCAAATGAGAGCACTGTCGCCTTCTCTGTGTCCTGCTGACAGCTGTGAGCCTGCTAACCAACCTCCTATAATTGCTACTAATTGTTATTCCCCAAGCAGGACTCAGCAGAGCACTTCAGAACTCCCAGCCCCATGTTATTTGGAGTGGGGGTGGCTGAGGGTTTGTGATGGGGTATTATGTTCTGTTTATGTCTTTAGCCTGGTAACTCTTGGTTTTGTTTTTTATGTAAATAAAGAACAAAAGGGAGAGGTGGGAGCAAGCTTGGACAGAGTTATTCAAGGAAAATGAGTCAGGATGCTACAACCCAATCTTCTGAAAATGCGTCATATGTAACTGTCCTGCATTAGCTAATTATGCTTAATGACACTGCACAGTTTACAATAGAGGCCAAGTGGCATCTACCCAGACTGGATGGATTAGCTTGTTTTTAGATTAGTTTTTTTCTTTTTCATATTTTAAGTCTTTATTGTCTGCAAGTAGAGGTTGATTGATATCACTGGTTGACAGGTTCTAAGTATAGAATATACAGTCATTTTTTTCCTGAGACAGTTCCATTGTGGTTTCCACTTTGTTTGTACAATGCACTAGACTGTGGTCAACCAGCTAGCCTGCTAATCCGATCCCACTAATCTGTCAGTGCAGTTCATTTTTTGCAGTGCAGTTCTGTCTTTGTCGGTGAATTGTTTACTCAACAGCAGTTAACTTTGTTAGTATGTTAGGTGCAGTTTTGTGTATGCAGTCATACTGTCACATCATCATGGCTTACTGGGACAGTGGAACAAAAGTGAGCCACCATTAATGTTATTAGCACTAGTATTATTAGCAGCTGTCTACACCAGGTGGAGACTGAGCTTAGGGTGTGGAGGACAGGGTGGGCAAATATGTACATTCACTACAGATGTATAGGGGTTTCCATTAATAGGGGCAGATCTAGAAAATTTTGGACATGGTGACCAGGCCAGGGCACAAACCCCCACCCAAATGAGGCAGCTCATCTCCTCACCAACATAATTGGAGAAATGAATGCAAATATGCTGCATGTAATATAAAAATTATTTGACCAAAATTTGTCATAAAGCTACCAGAAAAATGTTAGTTGTATTTAAGGCAACAATGTGTCATTGTTTCCCATTTTTCATTCATTAATACTGACAAGCTTCACATTTTGACCATAGCAGGGGTGACATCAGGGGGTGGCCAATCAGATTGGCTCCACTCATGCCCATCAGACATAATGTAACCTTAACCCACTGGATTTAGACTTGGAGACTACGTCCAGAGGATAAGAAAAGCAATGGTGAAAAACAGCTCTAATGTGATCAGAGGCCAAGTAGCGGTAGAGTTAAAAAGAAAACTTTGTCACCTCTTGTCTATTCTGTGATCACATATTATAAATGTCAGTATAGCTGGTCATACAATACAGATGCTGTTTTAACATGCAATAATATTTAATTTACCAGATGAGTTTGCAATCATAGAAGAGTGATTTGATCGGTGTCTCAGTGATGCAGTACAGGAGTCACTGTTCACCCCGTTAACAGCTATTTTTTATGACCTGATCAGATTTGTGTTGTTGTTTAAGTGTGAATGGAAACCACCTTAAAATGCTGGATTGACCATGTCATTTTCACACATATAGTTTTTATTTTTAGTCATTTTAGTGTGGACCTAATCTCAGTTGGATGACCATATCTTAAAAATTGTGTATTTCCTCTGGGCAGTTGTTTAAGGAAGTCTGTGTAATATGCATATTGTTACAAAGGCAGTGAACCTTGTGATAATTTGAAATGGATTTATAATGAAATCAAATTAAAACTACGGTACGAGTGCCACAAAGCCAGAATAACAGCCAGAATAAAAAACTGTTTGCCTCAGCGTTTAATATCAATATTAGCTGATTTGTACTCTCACTCTAATACAGGCAGGTGATGTTATAAGTATGTGTGGTTTATGTCCTCATGAGATAGACCTTTGTCCTTTTTCATCGACGCATAATACTCTAGGACTTGCGTGTGGGCACGTTTGTGCATGTTTTTTAGTAGCTGTGTGGACAAATTTTAGTTTGATGTTTGTGTGTTTCTTTGTTGCATCAGTGTTGTTAATTCACATCACTTCCTGTGGGCATGAGACAGACAGAAGGACAGTGAGCAGAGACAGAGTTTATCTGTGATGAGATGTTGACTAGCTGCCTGTCTCTCTCAGTTGCCTGTCAGCTCTTTGTTTATCTGGACTGACAGCTCTGACAATGCTGCTGTCACACGCACACATGCTAGAGAAATACATATTTAGGGCTATGAAAAAGTTATGATGTTCCTTGTTTCTATGCAGTTCGTTCTATAACAACAAAAACTCAAAATTAAAGAAATGGATTTTTCTAATAAAATGTAAATATTTTATAAAACATTTATGCAATGATAAAGGATTTCCTTTTATCAGAGGCTTGAATTGTTCAGTTATCATGGAGATGGTTCAGGTATCATCCTGTAACCTAAGTATGGAACTTCAGTCACATGATAACAGGTGGTTGCATATGGGGGAGTAGGGCTCAAAGATGGCTTCAGTGTTATGGCATCAGATGTGAATGTTCTCCTTGTTCTTTCTCTGCCCATTCACTTTTTCCTGGTCAGTGATGTTTGACCTCTCTCCAATGGATGATGTGACAGAGATTTCCTCTCATGGGGTGCTGCCTTTGGGGTGTGCCAGCAGATTTCTTTAGAAGCTGAACTTTTTCTGAAAAGGCTGACTGCCTGTGACATGAAGACTGTGGTTAGATGTTCTATTGGTCTTGACACATACGGGAGTCCCACTGAGATGCTTCTGATGGTCTCTTGTAATGTAGCAGTGATTGTGTAAAATCTGTTGTGTAAAAACGTACTGTACCTATGAGGAGACAGGGTACAGCACTTACCTGACAACAGTCATGAGGTCATCCATCTAAAGAAGCAGTACAATGTGTGCTTCTCTACCTGCAGTCCTATTACTTCACGAGGTCATTACTGCTCCACTTAGCTTCACCTCTTGTCTTCCTTTTCTTTAAAAGATTTTCTTTTAAAGCGCCATTGGTAAGTTGAGTGCTTACTGTTTTTTGTGCTGCTAAATATCATCCATAGCTCAGCAAAATTAGTGCAAGAACTACCTCTTATTCTTTTGTTTTCTGATTGTATACATGTCATCTTTATAAATCTATTGTTTCCTTTCTTTAAGATATAGTAATTGCAGATTATACTGAGCGACTCCCAGTGTCCAGTTGTAGGTGACTGTACATGTAAGTGTACATTTGAATGTGATATTAATGTGAGCTGGTAATGGTTAAAAATAAACCAAACTGCTCTGCAATGCCACTAACCAGATGATATAAAAAAGTATTTCTTCCCTCATGTTTCCAATTAACTTGTAATTTCACAGTTCACTCCTGTAATGTCCTGTGCACCTCCTGATTCTTCCTGTCTAAAGGTTGCTAAATGACTGTTTGTAAGCTCGCAGTACACCTTGTTCCATAACTAATAGTGTAATTTAGGCCTGTTGATGTGCACCAAGGAGAGGCCTTTGAAGTGAAGTAGAGCAGGGCATTGCTGCGCACATGGAGGCTCAAGCAACCGTATTCCACATCAAAAAGAACTGTTGTCATGGAGGCAAACATCATTGCTCTTGTCTTTCTCTGGCTTCTCCATTTCTTCTTTCTATTTCTGCTCTCAGTTACTGTATGCTGACATTTCAGCTGAGGCAAAACTCAGTACTATTTTTTTAATCTCCTGATCCTTCCCCTTTTGTTTTTTTCTTTCCCTTCCTTCCTGCCTCCCTTTATCTCTCATCTCTCCCTCCTGTGTTAGTCTGAACCTCATCATTTCTTCTTCCTCCTGCCCTTTCCATCCTATGTACTCCCATTATCAGGGAATACTTCTAGTTCACCTTAGACCAAAATAACAATGTGCCATTTACTGTATACAGTACATCTCTATGTAGCTGCTATGGCAGGAGGCACAAAGCTTCAGGCAAAGCAGGCTCTTCTCCATTTTAGAAAAGGCAGTAAAGATGGAGTGATCGGTGTCATTTGCTGTGATGAGTGCTAAGCATGTGATGGCTCTGTTGCTAAGATCTGGGAGGTCAGGTGGGCAGGCTAGTGATTTTGGAGGTGGTATGTCTGGAACTATTACTGTTGTTGTTGTTCAGCTGCTTTGAAGATGGGGATCAATCCCGTACAGTGTCTTGGGTGCACCACTGACCTGTCCTTTTGTTGTTTTGACATTCAGCTGTTGATGTTTATCAGTACACCACTGTGAGAAATGGAGTGTTAGGCTGATGTTCATGAAACACACATCCCCCTTTTCTTATGACCTTTTTAAGAACAACCTAGGAAGAAATTTAAGAAAACACCTAGGAAGATGTTGGTGAATGGCGCCTCTTGTCAGTGTGATTGTACAAGGTCTTTGAATTATACATAATTTAACCAGTAAAGTGATGTTGTCTGTCTCCCTTGACAGGATGTTGAGATACAGACCAATGCATCGTTGTACCTGCCACAGATCAGCAGGTTGTTGAACCGAGTACCCCGTCAGATGCTGCTGCTGCTGAAGACAAATGACCTTCTGAGGAGCACTGAGATCACCTTACAAACCAGAGCCTCCTCCTCATCGTTCATCAGCATATCCCGCTGCTGCATACGTGCCATAGCCAGGTTAGGAAGATAGCTCTTTTTTTCTCTGTCATAACTGTTTTGCTAAATGCTCCCTCACAAAGTTAGTGGGCAGCATTTAGCTGGTGGGCACTAAAATAATGTGTCTCACTGAGCTCACTGGCCTGCTTCATGTCTACAGTAAACACAGCACTACAGAACAGGTGAACATGATACATTTACAGCCAGCACAGTTTGTGAACATCAGCAGAGAAAGAAAGCGTGCGCTCTGAAAAGGTTACGTCACAGAAAAAATACTTTGTCACTTTCTCACATATAGGACACATGATGTTGCAAAACATGCCTGAAATAAAATCTAAAATATGTCAAGTAGGCACATCACTGCAGTAACTGAAGAGAGTAGCCTATAGCAAAGTAACATCATTGCTGCCATAGCAGGCACCAAACTCCAGGTAAAAAAAAAATAAAATAAAATCGCCAAATTACTGTAGACTACAACACATTCAACTGGTGGCCATCAACATAATGTAATTCACAGACACAAATTGATTTGACAGCTGCAACGGGTTGACCTGGTGGATGGGGATTAAACTGGCCTGGATTATTATAACTCAAAGTAGCAACACAGTGACATCCTTAGCTTAGCCAGCTGCTGTTACAGTCACAGTGGGAGTGCACATGATGCCTTCTGGCATGATTTAGCTACAAGCACAAAGGGTAATGGTTTGCATCCTTATTGTACTGCTGTAAATAATATATTCACAACATACCAGTCAGGCAGAAAAAATGCCAAATCAACATCTGTTTGTAAATCCCTCTCCATTGGCTGAAAACATTTCGATATAACTCTATGATCCAACTCAAACTGTGTTGGTTTCTTTTCTTCCTTCTCTTCAAAACTCTCATTTCTTGTCCTTTTTCATGTAGCTGCTTCAGATAACACTGAAATCAGCTGCCTCTTAGACTGTGACCATGTCAATAGAGCCAAAGCACATTCACATATTGATTGACAGCCGTGAGCTCCCACCCCTGGCGGTGGACTTCTCTCATTGGTTAAGGGTGTTATCCTGGTCAAAACCCTTTAGACGAGCTCATCTGCCATTCTGTTTGATTAATCTGGGTCACAGGAGCCTTCAACAGCAACTCTCCTCATTAAGATAGGTTTTTTGGGCATAGTTCCATAAAACAATTGAAATATTACATATTGTCGCTTTAATTTTATATATGGAAAGTTGAGATAAGTGTTACATGGACTTATCTGTATTGTTTGATCACAGACTGAAACAGCAGATCAACAACAACAGGAAGCTACAGTATGTACAGTATGACACTGTGGTGCTTTGAAGTTTTAACTATTGCTTTTGTTTGTACTGTAATGGTTTAAGTAACATTGTTCTTCATTCTGTGTTTAGAATTTTTAAATGTCTGACTTTGGCACCCCAAGTTATGGTATCAGACAGGACACTGGGACAGACAGGAATAAAATAAGTAGTTTTATCTCTGGATTATTGTTAGATGATTATTATTCCACAGTTGTAGAGACATTTCATTATGTTACACTACACAAAATGAAGAGCTCCTGTCTGTAGTAAAATGCCAAACTCTACAAGTGAGCCTACAAGGGTCCGTAAATAATATCATCAGTATCAGTTTCTGAGATTTATGCATATGTACAAAGTGGAATGGTGAGACAGGCAATTTTTCAGAACTACAGAAAACTAATCTGACAGCTAAGTGACTTTGGAAGAGAGTTTGATATTTGCCACTATAGGAGGAATGTGGGCTGTCACATCAGCCCACAGCTGATGGCTGAAGGACAAGGCTCTGGACACACACAGAGGGCCTCTGCCTTGTCTGCCTGTCTGAATAACACATCTTATAAAATATTAATCAGCTGTAGTGCCATGGGAAGTCATATAATGCACCAGGCACCAGGGGACCATGCTGTCCCACCTCAGCTCTAGCATTCTGTTCAGTCTGCTGCACCTTTTTTACAACTCACACTGTTCATGTGTGTCCATGGCCAAAACTAGCTCCTCTCAGGCATGTAGCACCTTTTGTCTTGTGTTTCTGATATTTCTAAGTGTAAGACAAAGGTGATTATCTGCTTGCCAGTGAGGGCATGTCTATGAGGAATTTGCATGTTTTTCCAGTGCCTGCCTGGATTTTCTTTTATAGTCAGCCTATACACACACTAAATAAGACATCCTGAGAAGAGACATGCAGGTAGAGCAAATGGAGCTGTCTCCGTGCAAGGAACAACCCAGGAGTAGTAAGTAATGGGACTTCAACTTGGTCCTTATGAACAGAGATTCACACTTAAGTCATATGATAACTAAACATGACCACAAGATGTGGTTAACAGGTAGTAAGTGGATCTTTTGAGTTTAGATTTGTTTTGTTACATATATTTTTACACAGTTGAGGATAGTCCTATTCCTGAGAAAAAACCTGATGGGGAACTGAAGTCTGTGGCCTCATCAACAGCCCTGTGATGCTCATTACACCTTTTAATGCAAAAGTGTTTCAAGGAAAAGACATTAACAATTGCATCAGTCTTCGAGCCTTAAGACTGGATTTCTTATCAAGCACACACTAATCACTGACCCCTTTTTGGTTAAGGGTGTCCCATGCACTATTAGCTGACTGAAAACCTGTGGGCTCTCTGCCCTCTGTTGAGCGTGGTTCGTGATGGTTCGCCAAAAATTGGAAAAGTTCTTTTCACCCAAATTACAAAACAAAGTTGTAGTAGTAAAAATATGGTTTTATTTTTTGTTTTTTTATATATCAAGGATTTGAGTTATGTTTTGACCTTAATACAACAGTGATGGATGGGATTTTATTTGTAATGCTCACAGCATTAGGCAGTTATTTTTGAAATGCTCAGTAGTAATGTGTCTCTTCAGAAACTGTGTCCCCAATACTCTGGATAATCCTCACTGTCAACAGTTCGTTACAGTTGCTTACATTTACTTCTTACTAAGGACATAGTCCAAATAAAAAACCATTGCCAGAGTTGAGTGGGTTGTACAGTAGAGTGTAGACCAGGGATGGGCAATATTTTTCTACAAAGGACCACATCAGAAATCTGCCACAGCATCAGGGGCCACACCCATGCAGTCAAAAAAAGGCATGTTCTACATTTAATTTCTGCTAAGAAAAATACATCAAGCAGATTTTGATTACTCAGTTTGTTGCACCTGTTTTGCCTGCATATTAATTCAAGGAAATACATTTTCTGAACAAAAAAGATGATGTGAATACATCTATAAAGGCATTTAGACAGTAACAGATTCTGGCATTTTTTCACCATATTTTGTCTCAAAGTGTCAACTCAAACTGTAGTCTTTAAAAAGTTTTTAAGCACAATGCTTGGTTGACTGGTTGAAAAGTAGCTGGTAAAGCATTGGTTGACTGGTTGTCAACCAATGCTTTACCAGCTACTTTGGTGAAGAAATATTTAGTAGTTCACACATTAAACATCCCGCATTGAGCACTTCTCTTTCTGCTACTCATTTTGTTGCATGCATAGCGCCTGCATCCTAGCTAACCATTCGTTCTTGCATGTGCTCAAATGTCACAGAGATGTTAGACTTAAATGATGTTTTCATTTGTGCACTGTGTATTTCTCCGGAATTAATTTTAGGGACAAAAAGGTTTACAGAATTTCATAGGATGTTAACCAAAAATGATCAGCTACATTTTCATTTGGATTTGTTTTGATCTCATAGGCCAGATGACGCTTGTCAATGGCCGCATCTGGCCTGTGGGCCGTAAAATGTCCAGGTCTGGTATAGACAGTAGATTTCTAATACTGTATGAGGGTGGCAGCCCAATTCACCACGTCCTGAGCTTTTTTTTTTTTCTAACCAAAAACTAGAGCAGCCTGTTTCACTGATTAGCACACCTGCAACCCCAGAAGAGGACCTAATCACTGAAGTGTTCAGCTGTAATGTTACCAGTCACGAAAGTCTAAGAGCCCAGTGGTTCATCATACACTAGTAAATTGCTGTTATTTAAAGGCACACCTTGTAACAGATCGCCAGCTTTTCACATTGGCTCCAGCGGCTACACAACCAAATTTAGGCAAATGTTGAATCTGTGATATTTAACTTCTGAGAGAAAGAAACTTATTTTCTGTCATGGCAAAGAACCTTGGTCATTGTTGTAGAGAAACCTCTTCAGTCCTTAACGTGTCATAGCAGGAACAGCTCAGATGTAACCAATAACACTAATGATGGTCCTGTGTTTTATAGGTTATCAGTGCCAGGCAGTCAATATTCACAATACCAGATCTGTTGAGCCAAAGTTGTTATGGTAGCCCCCCCTCACCAGGAGGGTGAGGGAGAACTGAGGTTGGATTCAAGTTTGCAGACCCAGGTGCTAGGGGGAAAAAATGACGGTTTACTGGTAAAACACAAAGTAACAAAAGAACACAACAAATTCCATGTACTTATACAGTCCAGGTAAAGCAGAGATGGTGGAGGAAATCAGAACAAACAGCTGAACCATGGGACTGACGGAAAAAGTTATCTACCCATTGGACCTGGGAAATGGTGTAGTTGGGGGGAGGGTTGATCCATACTATGGTGCTATTTAAGCAGTTGCTGTGGAGCAGCTGGGGAGGCAGTACTCTATGTGCAGGCCTGGGCCTGGTGATGGTTGATCGAGGCTTTGTTGAAGCTTCGACACAGTATTCACAAAAATGGTTCATTACTCGAGGTCTCAATGACACAGTTCTCGAGTAGGACATCTAGTGGTCAGTAAAATGAAGTGCAGTCAACACGTGTCACTTATTGGTTCATGGATTGTTTGGGATTTGATTCACCATGCACATTCCTGTTCGACTACACTACATGGTTGTATGGTTTCAAGCTGCCACAGTAAAATATAAAATAAACATGGACACATGTTGAAGACCATGTTTCTTATTTGGCATGTCTGATTGTAACCCTATATACTTTTCATTTGTATTTTGTGTTATGAAACATTTAAAAGGTGCTGCTACATTCATGAGATGTGGTCTACAAATTCAGACAGATGTCATTTTCACATGGGACTGGTGCAAATACAGATTACCGTATTTTCCAAACTATAAGGCGTACCTAAGAGCCTTAAATTTTCTCAAAAATCAGCCGTGCGCCTGATAAACTGGTGCGCCTTATGTGTGCACTGAGTTCCAAAATCTGTAAAAATGTTGTTGTGTGACTTTGGTAAGCGCTCTGCTTGATTGACTGTTGGACCATTTCCCGCTGACACAGGGACATAATACGTACACTACGTACGCTGGCAGCGATAAACCAGTCTAAACCGGTCTAAGGACCCCTGAAAATGGCACCAGTGAAGAGACATGCTTACGAGGCACAATTCAAACTACAGGCTATCAGTTACGCGGTTGTAAATGGGAATAGAGCAGCTGCAAAAGAATTCAAAATCAATGAATCTATGGTTCGGAAGTGGATTTGTGGGAGAAGATTGATTAAAAATAATGTGAGTGTATTGTTAAATAGTAGAATAAAGTTCAACTAAACTCACTGTTTTGCTTCCGTTACGTTTTAGCATGCGCCTTATAATACGGTGCGCCTTATGGTGCAGAAAATACGGTATATTATGGGCTTTGGCAAAGTATGTTTTGGGGTTCATTGGTAAAGAGGTTCATGGGTAATGTGGGTAAAGAGGGTGTGCTTGCACTAACTGTTATCTGGATATGTATATCTAGCTTGATAGTTGATCTATTCTCTCCCTCTCTCTCTCTCTCCCTATACACACACACACACACACACACATATATATATATATATTCATTCCCCACTTTGGGGCGGTCTTGTATTCCTTCCTTCAAGCTTGGGTCCTCCCAAAGTGATTCACTTGACAAACTGAACCAATCAGCTGATTTGTATGTACTTGAGTGACGTCCGAAGCAGTTGAGTGCCTCGGACGACACTCAAGTGCTTCAAACGTCACAAGTCAAGTGACCAAAACATGCCTCGGCACATTGGTTTGATACAATTGCTTCATGAGCTACCGTGCATGTGTCAGAGCCTCGGGTGTCAGAGGACCATCACTACCTGTGCCTGTAATTTGAGTTGTGTTATTTTGAGTTGGGTTTTCTTCAGTTATGTGCTGTTAACCATTTGTTTGTTTAGGGATTTTCCTTTGTCAGGTGTATCATGGTGGCACATGTTAATATCTCATCAATTTGAGAAACCTGATGATGTTTTATGAGCCTGTCTCCTACTATTTTGGTTGCTCGGAACCAACTTACCACAATTATTCATATATTCAGTTTCTTTCATATGTAAACGACATGTCTGGTTCATCAAAATAGTTGCTGGATCCAGATCCGTTTTGTTCTGGCACAAATTAACCCGACTAAATGTAAACACGGTTTACAAGAAAACGCCACAGTACATTTTTATTTTGAATTTCAAGGATATATTCAGTTTAGGATTGAATCCTAGGAAAATCAGTGTTTTTAATGGTTCAAATTAATTGTCGAATTTGGAGTTATTTAATTTCACTCTCTGAAATCAACATGGTTTAACATGCATATAGGCTCATGCAAGGCTCTGCTGTGGAAATGGACTGGAACAAACTCAGCAGTAGTGGCAGAGTGTGTAAAGTTGTTCCTCCAGTCTTCCCCTACATTCAGCATAATGCTGAGGCAGTACTGCTTTTGATAAATATTTCCATCCTGAGACTTTATAGTCAGGTTCAAATACTTTTACTAGCCATAAAGTATGAAATTGCACTCGCTGTGTCCCTGCTTATTTTTGAGCTCTTGTCATATCAAGTAATGACAGAGACTGTCAGCAACTGATGCTGGGTGGAGTTCATCACCTCTGTTACTTTAGCAGTCTACCTGAAAGAGCTGGAGCGGCCTCTTCAGTAATCAGCAAACAACACAAACCAACAGATATTTTTGACATTGCAGGTGGCTTTAATAATACGAATTTAAAGACCGTTTTGTAGAAATTTCACCAGCATGTTATCTTTACTACAAGAGGAGAAAATACACTGGAGCTTACATCCAAGTTTTTGCTGCTAATGTTAGCAGTACCTTTAACACTGTGTCTGTATGTTTTAATTTACTGTATAGTTCACAGTCTGTTATTTATTTTGCACTCATCTTTAATGTCTCTTCTATGTCGTTCTGTGGCCCACAAGGAATAACATTTCATTTCCCTGTATGTCATACATACTGTATATACAGACTGTAAAGACAATAAAACTGAACCTGATGCAGGGATGTTAGCATGCTAATATTAACTTTTTAAATTGTTGACGATTATTGGCCCACGTTGCCTGCATATTTTGCAACAGAGGTTATGTTCACATTACAGGCTATAGTGCTCAATTCTGTTGTTTGTGTGTGTGTGTGTGTGGGTGTGGGTGGGTGTCAGATCAGATCTTTTTCTGTTAATGGTTCACATTCATGTTTGTAATTAACATGTGTCCATCTGTGAACACTGTTGATGTCCTAAACTGCCACGCATGCAAATATTTAATTGAAATGTGAGCCATATGCCGACAACAATAACAACAACTTCATTTGTTTAACTGTGAATTCCTCAACATGTTGCTCTAGGTTGGCTCAATCAGAAGCTTGTCCATAAAAGTCCAACAAATGTGAAACGTCCCTGTCTCTCCCCCGTCACTGTTTTTGCTCTCCCCCATGTTTATTTTTACTGGTTGGCACCATGAATGTCTTTTCAGATATTTAAGGTAATCCAGTATTTGCTGAGATATTCTAGTCTGGGTTAAAGCTGTGGACAGACAAAGTAGCTAAAAAAAAAAAGCCAGCTAGCCACACAATTCCCACTGGTTTTCTTGTTTGCAAGTGAATAAATGTGATGTTCAGAAGGCCCTGTGACCTACTGGGTATATCATGACCTGCATTAGCACGTGGTTTTCTCTTGTGCCACCCTCACATCAAACATTTTTCGCTCCAATATGGCTCCAAGAAATTACCAGTGTGCTAGTCTTTCTAATTAACACTTTTGTATTCTAGGTTTTAATAGATATTGTAGCCTGTATAAGCTGTTAATGGAACTATAATTTTTATTTTTTATATGATATGCTCATCTTAGAGTTTCAAAAAACCTTTAATTATATGACACTACCTCACCCTAGTACAGGGATTTAAATAGAACTAAGTAATAGACTTTTTTGGTAATTGTTTTCATAGATCAGTTTTTTACACTTTTAATGGTGTGATGTGTTTTCTTTAACATTTAAGCTTGTTTAAAAAATGCATTAGTAGACTGTGATATGAAGCAAAGCCAGCACCATCCATTATCTATACCACTTATCCTGAAGAGGGTGTGGGGGGGCTGGAGCCAATCTCAGTTGACATTGGGGGAGAGGCGGGGTACACCATGGACAGGTCACCAGTCTATCACAGGGCTGACACTTAGAGACAGACAACCACACACACCCTTAGTGGCAATTTAGCCCCTGCTGACGCCAGATGTTCCTGTTAGTTCTTTCCCAGAAACCAAGCTAGTCTGTGAAGCTGATTATTAATTGGCAGCAATTTTGAAAACTGATTCAATGGGTCAGCTGTGGTTCGAACACAGAGCCTTCTTGCTCTGAGATGACAGTGCTAACCACTGTGTCACCATGCTGCCCTCAAAGCCAACTCATTAGTCATATTCCACACAAAAGTCTTGCCCACATCTTTTCAGCATTTCCAGAAATGTGAAAACTTTTTTCAGACTGATGAGCATGGATCAGTGTTAATCCCTTTTTAGATAGGACGCAGTGGGCGCTGCGCTCTGCTATCAAACCCATTCTTTTCTATGTGTTGTGCCCTTCCTGAAAGCCCTTTAATACTATAGTTGTGTATTTTGATATGGATCATTAGGAAAAAGTTGGAGAAAGCACAAGCATCTGTAAGGAATCTTGATGATTCACCTCAATATCTGTGTGTGACCCTTTCTTTCTTCTGCTGCTCTGGCTGGCAGGCACAAGAGGAGTAAAGCCCAGTCCAGGATGAGGCGTCTACAGATCAGCCTGGCAGAGTCCCTCGACCTGGGTAGACTCACTATGTATGAAATGTTTCTGTGGGTGAAGAGCTCCATGTTGGTACATTGGCTCGCTGCTCTGTTGGCATTTCTGCACTGACACACATCTGCACATCACATTAGAACTTTAATAACAAGCTGCAGCTGTTGGCTCTCGGGGAGTTTAATACATAATGGTTTTATATGCTCATACATCCACACACACACACACACACACACACACACACAGATGTACATGAATAAGTTCCACTTTTGTTAATGGTAGAAATACATACAATCACATGATGCTGATATGTTTGAACACCAGGAGCAGCTGGGGCAGCCAATATAATGTTTTGGCCCGTTACCTTGAGATCACAACACATGGTATACTGTCTGTCGGGCAATGTTGAGATACACAAGTTCTCATGATTGTGACATAAGTCCCTCAAGATAATTTTTTTGTATGTTTTACTTTTATTTAAGGCCATTACTGTCTTATTCACTGTATTTAAACCATGGCGACTATGATCAAAACTGGGTCTCACCAATTATATCTGTCAACCTACATGATTGCTGGAGACACTGCACAAAATTCCAGTCAGCACCAAGCAGAACTATAAAGTAATGAATCTGCCAGAGACCAGGTCAGTTAGTACCACAACCAGACAGGTACGTAAGTCATAGACAATAAGCCCAGGTTGTCACAGGATGCCGCTGGCTCTCAGCACCATCTGGCCAACGAAGCTGCTGAAGATACCACACAGCGATATGAAGAATATTTGAAAAAACATGAAGACTTTCTGAGTCACAGTCAGTGCCGAAGTCATCTGTAGTTCAGTCCTGATAGTGTACTGTACCTGCTGGATGATACTGATTCATTCGTGCTCCTCAACAAAGGACATCAGAATGAAGTTTGCATCAGGTCATTTTTCTTGTGATACAGATTACACTGAATGCTTAAATGGTTTCTATATTTCATTGGTATGTTATTGTATAATGATGGATCATGTTTACTATTTCATTGGTACTGTTGTTCTTAGGACAAATAGTATACACTCATTCCATAAGCACACCAGTTGTATTCCTGTCATATTTATTTTTAGGTGTTATTTACCTAAGTGTTGTCAGTCTGATCAGAAATGAACACTTCATTTTTC